TGCATATTCATGCAAAGAAATGAAAATTCTTAATGGAGTGCCCTCATTTTTTATTGAATTCCTAAAAAAAATATTTATAATGAATTTTAATAATTTTTTTGGATTTTTTTGAAGTTTTAGTCTGACCGATTCACCCGATTCTCGATCCGTATCCTCGATTCGTATATCCAAATAGATTTTTGAGATGCACGATCCGAATCACTGATCCAATTTTTAAACAATTACCTAGAATGTATCTAACGACACATAATTGTCATTATATACCTTATGATTACAGTATGGATCGGTTACAATTGGATCCGTCTAAACTTGAATCGCATTCTAGTACACATTTGAGGATCCAAGGTCCGGTCTACGCATCGCGTAGCCTTAATGAAAAACATAGTCCTATATAGGACCATTCGTCATTGTAAGAAAAGATCTCTCTCCACGCCACCCTTATGCCTCTAAAATTGAGCCTTTTCTCTTTTTCTTTTTTACTTTTCCATTCCAAAATTTTTAATGCTTTAATAATTTCCTCTGCAAATCCTTGGGGTTTAAGGCACGATTGGCGGGTTTTTTCAGAAGTGAACGAGAACGGAGAAGAGTTTGAGTTTTCAGAGAGAGACATTCCGAGCTTGGCTTTTTGTGATGATTTTAGTGATGGCGATGCAGCATTTAAGCTGTTTCCAAGACCGCTCTCGATCCTGGTAAGCGGTTTGTAGCTGTCTTCTTGTCTGCCACATTTCGACGCGCATGGAACACGAAGCTCTGGTGCACTTAGTGTAGTGGCCAGCGAGCAAAAATCAGGGTTTTCTTTGCCCCAATACAATTGCAGGGCATGGATTGCTACTGCAACAAATGGAACCCATTTCCAGAGAATATTCCATTTCCACTCTTTTTGCTACTCGCCACTTGGACGATGCTCCACGTTTGGTAGATTTAGGGCTTGGGTTATGTGTCATACTGGTTCTTTAGGGCTTTGAGGTGTGATTCTATTAGAGAGGGTTCTGGTTTGTAGGGCTTTGGTCGTTCTAGGGGGATATTGCGTTTTAAATTGTGTTGGATTGGTGGTTTTGGGGATTTTTTGGTGTTTTTGGTTTTTTTTTGGTGGTTTTTAGGGTGGTTTTTGAGTTCGGGCTTTTTTCATTCAGGATTTTCTTTTGGGTTCTAATATTTGGAAGGAATGATCAAGGTTTGGATTTTGGAGTAGTGAAGAAGGAATATTCAAAGCTGGCATGCATAGATTTTAGTGGGATATATGACTCAGCAAGAGCTCTAGGATCTTTGAGTATCAGAGTGTAATTTATGTTCTAGGGATTTTCAAATTGTTTTAAGGAAGGGAGATTTTTTAGAGCGAGAAACTCAATGTTTAAGGTTTCATAGTAAAAGACCCAAAAAAGGAATGTGCACGATTTTGACCCTGTGATCCATGTCTTGTGGGTTTCCCATTCTTGGCATGACAGTTATGAAGTGAGCGATTGCGAGTCTCAAAGCCCCATTTTTTTTAGTTTCCCCCCCTTCTGAATCTTCTTAGGGATTTTGAGTCTAGTGGGAGAATTTCTAGGAGATTTTGAACTAGTGAGAGAAAATGGTCATGCGATCTCTCTTACGGGTTTGCTGTGAAATTTAAGAAATTGGAGAGGGTGGGGTTGTCAGTTTGTGCTTGTGGTTCCTCTGGTTTTTGTTATTTGTTTAGTGTTCTTAGCCTGTTGGCTTTGTTTCCTACGCTGACTAGTCACCCGAAGTCTGTGGACTATGTTCTATACTCGGGAAACAAGGCCACAACAAGAGCATCTTTGGGTCTTACCACTGTTTAAGGGGAGGGGGGAAGAAGAACCTTAAAGTAAAAACGCCACCACCACTCCCACCTTCTCTCCCTTCATCTCTCATAGAGTTTCTCTTTCTCTCTTGAATCTTGGATCCTTTCTCTTTTATTTCTCTCTCTTACATCTTGGGTCTTCTCCATTTTGAGCCTCTCATCCCTTGTTGTATCTTTTTCCATTTATTCTCTCACGAGTATTGCGTCTTCTTTGGTTTTGGGCCTACAAAAACAGTCCACCCTTCACAGTCCTTTTCCCTTTTGGGGTGGCTGGGTTCTCCTCTAGGGCTAGTTTTGATGTTTTGGAAGGTGTGGGACAGAAGCTGGCGATGTAGGTTGTTGGTTTGGGATTGCGACATTTTGTGAGAGTGTCGCTGAGGATCGAGGCAGTTCGTTCTTCTCTCTCTCTCTTAATTTAAGTTGGTGTTTTTCAAGAATCAAGATGAAGTTTATGAAGCTGGGTTCGAAGCCGGACTCTTTTCAGAGCGATGGCAATGATATCAGGTATGAAACTTTTCCATTTCACTTCCTGGTGCTCTTTTTTGCTTTAAATTTGGGGAGATCTGGAACGGTTAGTATCTCTTTAAAGGTGGTTTTGGGGATGAGTTCATTGGTTGAGTAGAAAGACATTCTTACTATCATTCGGTTATGGATTTTGGGTGGACTACATAGGTTTTGCTATTGTTTTGTGCAATTTTTTGGTATTGTTTGTTTTCACAGGAGGAACATTTGTGCATATACTGGAACTGTTTATATGAAATATGTATGGGTCTTCTCTATTTATATCACTTTTGTGACCTAGATCCACTTGGATAGAAATATAGGTCTATAAATTACAGGACCTGCTTGAACTTCAAGTTCCACTAATAGAAGGAAAAGGGATATACAGGAAGTCATGTTTCAGTTATATTTTAAAGATGATCCCTGGAACATTTGAAGTACAGTGGTTCACTTATTGAGATCTCACCAGGGTTAGATTTGAAACTTAGTTTTCTGAAGCATACTCCAATTGCCTCTTTGAAAGTAAACCATTAACACTGATGGGACGGCATCCTTACTTTCAGCACCTTTCTTTGGAGCCTCTCACACTGAGCGAGCTGCATCGCTTCCTTGAGTTGTTAATCTGGCTTGGGATATAAAACTTGGCATGAGGATGTGATTTCTTTATAAATGTACTTGATTTTGGAGTATTATCAAGAAGCTAGAAGATTGGGGATTGGGCAGTTTGCTTGAGAATGTTGCCAGAGAGGTCATATAATGCACTCTTTGTAAACATTTAGAAGTGACTCCTTGGATTTTGATCTTATTTTTATATTGTTTAGTTTGCTATCTTCCCTTTTTCCCTTTCTTCTGAGTGTCTTTAAATTTGTTGTGTTAGTTCTTTGAGAAAGGGTAACTGTTATAGATATTTCGTAAAGTTACAAAAAAACACCCCAAAGGCAAAATTTGTTGCGTTAGTTGCATCTTGTTAAATTGCTAGTTCGACCCTTGTTTTTTTATTTCCCAGTTTCTTTCTCTTTTTGTCGACCCTTGTTTTTTTATTTCACAGTTTCTTTCTCTTTTTGTACTCCTTTAGTCCCTGACGGACTGAGACCCAACTTATTGTCGTTGACCATCTCATATTGATGTTGGTGCCACTATAGACCCCAAGTTGTGGTTCTTCTGTAATCTGGCCGTTTGCCTTTCAATCAGTGTTCTTTGTCACCTATTATCAGCTGTGGTCGAATAAGCCATTGTGCATCTGCATCGAAGGGCTGTGACCCTTTACTGCATGGCAGATGCCCACATACGCAGGCATGCGATATGGACCCACCTAAGAGGAGCATAGCCTGAATATCTGCTGTATCATGCCATATGATGTGGGCGCATATATGAACCCTGCTTGTGGGAGGAAGGAGTACTGACAAGCACACGTGAAAATGTTGTTTTCCGCCCCAAAAGGAGGACAAATGGTTTGGGGAGATGTAGCCTCTTCAAGCCCCCTTAGAACCAAGTAAAATTGGTTCTAAGGGGATTAAAACGAAGATTTCAAAGTCGATTTTTGTTTCAAATTCAATATTTCCTGCAAACTTCATAGATTTTCTGGCGACTCCTCAAGTTGGTTTCATGCTACCTGTTGAGGGATTTAGGGTGCATATTATGAAGTTATTGTCTAGCTGACCCCAATTAGTTGGGAAAAGGCTTTGATGATGTTGATGATTGTCGCGTTATTGTGAGTTTCAACTTCGAAGGAGATTAAAACAAGAAATCAAAGCTTCTTTTGATAGTGGGTTTGAGATTGAAACCAATATCTGTTTTATTGGTTGCTACATTTGCTAATTTGAGTAGTTTCTAGTTTCTTTTAATAAAATCATACTATGTTCGCTTTCTTCCTTAGTGCGTAGTATGTTGACATTGTTTTGCTTTCAGTGAAATTAATCAATTGATTGGATCATTTTGTTTAAATGTTACTTATATCAGAGAATAGAGACCTACCTGTGACTTACACAGCATATGTATTAGTGAAAAATACTTAATTAAAATGCCCATTATGACATAAATCACACATTCATGTTATTCTTTATATCCTTATAAATTTCATATTATCATGGCTGCATGAAGGCGCATAGGGCATCAGACCCCCTAGTGCCTCACCACTGCAACACATTTGATAAACTTGCTTCATCAATACTCTTTTTTGTTATTTTTTGACTTTTTTTTGGTTATGTTCTTGTAACTATTTATTGAATGGTAGTGATCTGTTTTTTAACATCATTTTCTACCTTTAGCTAATTCATTTAGGTCATGAGACGTATGCAGTGGAGTTTTCTGATGATCCTATGCACCACGTGTATTACACATTGGTGTATCAAGCTAAGCTGCTTAAGATGGCAGAAAAATTCGTTTCAGGCAGAAACAGACCAGGGAAATGCTAATTTTTAAAGTAAAATAGTGAAAACTACTAAATATGATCTTCATTAGTAAAAGATGATAAAATCATAACAATCACTAAAGTTATATTTTGTCGAAAAATAATGGGACTTCAAGTTTCTTCTTGCTTATTCCTCTTTATGTTATATATTTAGACAAGAAGAAATATAATAAGCAATGCTTAAAAAAAAAATGGATTGGTGATCTAGATCGATCTTGAAATTGCGTTTGGATTTACTTATCTGCGGTTTGCAGTGATTAAAAAGTCAGCGACTCGCAACGAACTCGCTCGAGTAGGCACGAGAATCGGTCCCCCCGTGTCGATTCCGCTAAAACACAATCGCCTGGTTGTAGAGAAGAACCGGCAATTCTATACAATAAATCGCTGCATGACGTCATGAGACATCATGAATCGCCCGGTTCTTCTATAGTAAATCGTTGCATGACGCTTGCTCTTGTGTATGACATGGGCATTCTTGTAATTTTTGGGTTAAGATGGGTCAAAGGCCATGAACCTAGGGTCTAACACGTCCAGGCCACGTGTCCCTAGCCACAACGCCTCAAGCTTCTTCATTCGTTCGCACGCGATATGAGTTAGTACCACGGAAGTATTTATCCACTTCAATCTTCTTCCACTTTTTCGATGTGGGATATTGTAAATAAAAAGTAATAGCTTGAAAAGGTGATATAATATAATATTGTATTGGGGTTAATAACATCACAAAGGGGATTGTGGTATAGTGGTTATCACGTCCTTCCTTCACATTGGATGTCGTTGGTTCGAATTTGGCAACGTTTTTTTTTTTTTTGTCAAATTTCTTTATCTTGTCAAAAAAAGTAAAAGGTTTTTGTCAAAAAAAATGAAAGGTATAAAAGGTTCTTGTCAAAAAAAATAAATGGTTCTTATCAAAAAAAAAAACGAAGTAATACAATAAGTATTTATTGGGAAAAAATAAAATAAAAGATTCTTGTTAAAAGAAAAAAAAAAATGTAACACGACAAACGTTTATTGTCAAGAAAATAAAATAAAAGGTTATTGTGAAAAAAAAAAATTGTCAAAAAAAAATCAAAGGTAAGATAACAAGTATTTCTTGTCAAAAAAAATAGAAGGTTTTTGTCAAAAAATAAAAATACAAGGTAATACAAGAAGTATTTATTATAAAAAAATGAAAAATAAAAATTTCTTGTAAAAAAAATAGCAAGTAATACAAAAAAATAAAAAGTAATACAACAAATATCTTTTCAAAAGAGTAAAGGACTAGGGTTCTCCGCCAATTCAAGATTTTGGTGGCCATTTTTTCATTGATTTAAACCATTCTTTATTGTAATTCATGTATCATTATATACTTCATCCATGACAATTCCACAATATTTTTTTTGTGTGATGTAAATTTAATGGTTAAAATAAGTTCATATAGTGAAAGAACATCTCAATATTCGCATATTGATAAAAAAAATGAAAGTTAATAATGTAGTACCCCGATTTCTTATTGAATTCTTAAAAAACAACATTTATAATGAATTTTAATAATTTTTTTGGATTTTTTGTAAGGGTTAATGCGACTGATTCGGCCGATTCTTGATCCGAATCACCTATTCACCGATCCGGATGGGTTTTTGGGGTGCCCGATCCAGGGCATCGATCCCTTTTTTATAGCACTGGTAGTTTGGATTAGCAGATGGACCGGATCGGCTTAATCTGGCCTTAAAAAATTTCAAAAACATATTAAAAATCGTTATAATATTATATTTTGAGTTTTCAAAAACAAATGGGGTAGTGCATTATGGACTTTCGATATTTTACAAAAAAAAGTGAGTTTTGAGGCATCATTTCTTGTCTGAATGTCTATTGATATTAATTTCTATACTAATTTTGATACACAATACTTCTACAAAATTTTTGATGCTCATGAATTTTAAATGTTTTTTGATGCTCATTTTGTGATTTTTAGTGAAGAAATGAGGGAGAAAGTGATTTTTTATACTAATTTCGTGATACTAGTCATTTTTGCGTGTGATTTTTCTCTCACACACATTGGACCTATCTCTCTCTCTCATGCATACATACACACACATAGATCACACTGGACATTTCTCTCTTTCTCATGCGTACATATATACACATGCAAATATACAAACATGTTGGACCTCTCTCTCTCTCTCGCACACACACATATACAAAGACATTGGGCATCTCTTTCTCTCTCTCACATACACAAAAAAAACAAAAGAAGACACATTGGACATCCCTCCCTCTCTCTCACAAACATATTGGACCATTCTTTCTCTCCCATAGCTTTCATTTTAGTTGAGGCTTCATTTATTTTCTTCATTTAAAGGAAAAATCTTTGGAGTGGTAATTTATTTCCCCAACTATTTCTACTTTGATATGCTAGACAATTTTCTTATTTTCGCATGTTGCATAAGTAGAGGGTGTGGTAAACATTGGGTTTAGTCTTAGACTCGTAGCATTACATTAATCATGACAATCAGTGGTTTAAAAACAGATCCGTGCCCTGGATCGGGCACCCCAAAAACCTATCCAGATCGGTGAATCGGCAATCTGGATCGGGAATCGGCCGAATCGATCAGAT